GAGAGCTTCTGTGTCTCACCGTCTGTACTTTGGGCCTGACTGTGCAGTTTGCAAGAGGCAGCGGGTCCAACACGTGACAGTCTGTCTCCAGCAGGTCAACTTCTATGTCGTATTCATCTCCATCTGGCTGAATAAGCAAAAATATATACAAATCAATGCACAATTGTTAAGTTACTTTTAAAAAATGTAGTGCATAAGATGGTAATTGACTAAATTCTGCTGTATATATTATTCCAGATGCAGGTGAACAGCTACTATTAGCAAAAATAGAGCACATAGCTGCTTTTGATTTAGTCTGAAAATATCCTAAAAAGTTAGAAAGAGAGGGGCACCATAAACAAAACTGTCTCTAACATGATGCAGTATGGACTGCTACACTTTGTTTTTATCCTTCTTCTCTTCCCAGTAAACTTTATTCTTGTCTAATGTGTTCACACATTTCTGTATGTAACTAAACAGCACCTCCACCTGCTGACTTACCTTCGTGTAGACCTTGATTTCATCGATCTGGTTCAGTACATACTTGTAGCCATGATGGTGCTGGGCGTTGAGGTAATCCTGCGCCACCAGAGCAGCCTCCTCCGCCTCGGGGGAGTCGCACAGAGGCCATCGCACGATGGGTAGAGCCCATGTCCCCACCAGCAGTCCCAGCACCACAGTGAAGCTCAGGAGATTCATTTCTGTGTGAAATGCAACAAAAATAAGGTATCACAGACGAGCAGACACTGGTAAAGATGAGAGGCAGAGCTGGTGCAGGTCGCTGCTTATATATCCTGTACTTTAAACATGAAAACAGAGCCAAGTTAAACACCATGTTCATCCCTCCTGACTCTTGCGTCACACGGTGGTGCTTTTTTTTTTTTTTTTTTTTTTACACATCCCTGTTTTTCCCCTTTTGTTTGCGCCTACATTATATTTCCATTTTCGTTTCTTCTTTAAAGGATGACTGCCAAAGCAAATGGAAACTCATCAAGTCCAGCGTGGGACGAGCAGCCTTTAGTTCAAATCAGTTTTAGTGTCACACTCCTGCAACATATACTGATACCTGTCTCTATGTCTGCCGTGAATATATATCAAATATTACATGTGAGAAGATCTTTGGGTTCACTTGTATTGTATAACCAGCTGTCTCCCTCAACAGAGGTCACGCTGGTCAACTACAGAGCTGGGCCCCACTGTCAGCAGGGATCTGCGGACTTGCTCAATGATACTAAAAAAAAAGAAAAAAAAAAACAGGATGTTTGCCAGATTTGGGGGTGGGGGGGACAGCGACCATCTGCTTATTACACCAGTGTCACTCAAGGTCAGCAGCAGGCCGCAAACAGAGATACTGATGAGAAGATTTCAAATGTTTTCTCAAATGAGCAATAAAGTGCAGACTGAGGACCGCCGCAGAGTTTTTCCATTCCCTCTAGAATACGTCACAAAGCTTTGAGGTTTAATAACTTTAGTAAAAACACACGGTCACTTCCATTCGGCATTAAATCACAGATATGTTACAGTACCGTGCAAAAGTCTCGAGCCACGGCCATTCCTTTAGATTTAGCTTCGAATGAGCCCTTTAAACTGTATCTTTAGGCACTTTGTTAGTAGCAGCCTGCCACAAGAACAACCTCCCAAGTTTGTTTGGCTTCTCCTGAAAATAGTTTAGATTTTTCCCAACTACTTTTAAAATTGAAATCTTGTGGCAGAGACTTCATTTTAAAAAGGCTTCCCTGCAGTCTCTGCACATAGCAGAGACTGCAGGGAAGTCCATAATGTTTTTGTTTGGCTTATCATTTTCATGTTTAGTTTTGTGGACTCTGGAAATGTTTAATAGCCAATGACTGCAGAAGGTTGGAAGGCAAGCAAGACATTTTTTTATTCTGATGTTTCTGTAGCTTTGTATTTATTAATGAGACATGATTTCTTTGATTGGCGTTTTAATGATATTGCAAGATCAACTTTAAAGACAAAACAGAAATGGATGATGGATGAAAAAACATAAGAGGTAAGAGTGTTGAGAGTAATGGAAACTAGAAAGAAGAACTTATTGTGGTCTTATTTTGCAAAGTAAAGGGATGCATAAGTTGAAGTTGAAGATACGGTATATTTACCCGGGTTATCAAGATTTGTTGTAACACTTGTTTTTATGAAATTTCTATAAAATAAAACCCCTGACGCACAGAGAGGGCCTGCAGGGGGCAGTGACGCACTTTAATGTAACTAAACGGACGCCTAAAGAAGAAGATCGTGTTTTGATTGGTCAGGATGAGAGGGGCACGTGACTACACGTGACTGTTAACGGTCAACGGATTGGATGAAGCCGAAGTCTAACAACCAATCACGGCAAGACGTCGCTCACGTTGCGTCCGTCTGCGTGATCCAATCTTGCATCGGCTAACCTGAATGCTAAGTAAGCTAAAGAGTTTTAGCTCCAAACGCCGTGTTCTGAATAAAAAACGCTCTGATTTATGTGAACGCACACACGGACAGGACGTGTCCGCTGAGAGCTTTCTCCGCTTCGAGGTTTCATTGAGCCAAACGAGGGGGAAACTGCGAGGCTACGTGAGTGTGTGGCTAGCTGCTCGTTTGTTGCAGCCAATTGTTGGGTGTCTTTAAACATCGCCGGCTTTTTTTTAAGCAAGGGTCTGTGATTGGAAACACGTGTCTGGAAGAAAGCAATTCAAGGCGGGCAAAACAGCGACCTGTACCCGCTCCGACAGCCTGGAGGTAACAAAATAATATTGCTTGTAAAAATAAAAATGTGTGTCTTTCTATGTGGGGACATGTGCTGCACACGCACACCTGGAGGCAGGTCTGTAACTCTTAGACCTCTGACAACTTCTGAAAAAGGCCTCCTTCTCAGTATAAAGAGCTGATGCAAGTGCAAAAGCAACAACTGTGATGGAAGATCTGTTCAGATCATTTGCCTTGGTAAAAGAAGCAGTAAGTAATTAGTCCATACGCACGATTATACCTGAGAAGAATTTACCAGCGTTCAGCCACTGATCGGTTCACCGCAGAATCAGATCTATTTATGAAATCCTTTTTCATCAAAGTGAGGCTCATGTGTAATCAAACTTTTGTTCTGTGTCGCAGCAGATGGTCAGACTGAAACCAAAGCCAGCACAGGGACCCCTAAGTAAGCTGTGAGGATCCTGTCAAATTGTGAATTCTTCAGACCTCATGTTACTTCACCTTTCCACTTCAAGGTGAAATTGTCTCAGCTAGCAGCTGCTGGATCATGGCCCGGAAACCATGTAGCTCCGTGTGTTGGTTTGTTGCTAAATGCTGCTACGTTTGAGCCGTCTCGCTCACACTTGGCTCTCGGGAAGGCGTTCTTCACTCTCTGCCAAATGCACCGAGCACAGAGCCAGCGGAGCAAAGCGAAATACTTGAAGAGGAGGAAGGGATCCATTTCTTTAATCAATGGGGTCTCTCACATGTCCAGGCGAGCCAAGAGGCGCTTGTACTGTAAACTACAGCTTTGGATGTGGAGGAAGTGGAGAGAGAAGTGCCACTTTGGGATATATAGAGCTAAAAAACGCTTTGGCTCTGGCTCGGGCCCCGGCCTCAGTTTAAAGACACAAAAAAATAAAAGGAAAGCGTACCACGTGCTGAATGCAGCAAAAACATCAGTCCTTGTGTCAGCTCTTGGATGTGATACTGGAGGTTCAGAGGATCCCCTTAAAAGACAGAACCAGGGTGTGAACACAGATGCTGCTGCAGGTACTGATGGTGAAACCATTACAGGAGAAACTTTGGTACACATTAGTGAAATTAGACAACCTTCAAGACACTGTCACAGTATCCAATCTTCATTAAATGCAGACAGTAACACATGTGAAGACGTCACACAGAGCAGGGTACCAGGAACAACTCCTGCACAAAGACTCGAGGTCGGCAGCCCATCAGCACAGACTGCTGGTACTCCAGGCCAGGACCAGAGTACAGTCACAGATACTGATGAGACAATCAGTAGTAAAAAAACAGTATCCCTTCACACTGATGTCAGCCTGCATGCACTGACGAAGGACATCCACGGTATGTGCATCATTAACTTTTGGTGCAACTTTCTTCTCTGGGCCGTTTGTTAAGACAGAGTTTCTGTGTTTCTCCAGAGTTTCTTGATGACTTCTACATGAAATATGGAAGCTTAATCCCATTACGTAAGAACGACGTCTTGAGGCATCTCAAGGGGAAGTTTTACACTGGTTTAAGTGACAGGTAAATCAGAATTCTGTTGTTGTGGTAAAGAGTAAGTGGGAGTTTTCTGAGCGTTGCCTGTTTGTGTCTGTTCAGGAAAAACACAGTCCTCTCTGAGGTTACCAGATACCGAGCTGCGATCCTCCAGAAGCCCATCCCGTCTTTTCAGGTGGTCTACAAGAAACACACGTTGACTCTGGACGATTTGTTGACGCTGGCAGATCAGAACTGGCTCAACGACCAGGTTAGCATCATCTATAACACCAAACACGCCATGCTTTACTGGATTCACTGGAGTGTGAATGTTTAAGATCAATGTACGCATTTGTTGTTTCTGTTGAAGGTTATGAACATGTACGGGGAACTGATCATGGAGTCTTCCCATCACAAGGTAATTAAACAAAGCTCTAAATGAAGCTCTAAAAATGCTGGAATTTTTCTTGCATTGGAACGCTAAGGGAAGAAAGATTTCACCTACCGGAGTTATTCATTACAGGGACTATAAGGCTGTATGTATTTCTATATCATTTAATGAGGTCAGTTTATTTACTCCAGACTGTTTAAAATGCTTTTTACCCCTCCGCTGTAAAAGGCTGACAGAGTATTGCTGTCACCCTGCTGGGCAGGCAGGCATGGAGGAGGAGGAGAGCTGGAGAGGGCATCAAGCCAGTTTCAGGAACAGTTTCTGCTACTCTGTACAAGCAGGAGCAGGAGCCCCACAAAATGACTTCCAGCTGCTCTCTATGAGGGTGGAATGAGAACTTAATGTCCTTTAGTTGGAGCTCACAGATGATCTTCGTGCAGCTCGACTGGCTTTCGGTGCCACAGATCACCAGAACGGGCAGGTCGACCACTGGCACCCTTTGCTTTTCACACATGAGAGCAGATTCACTGAACATGTGTAGCAGACCTGAGTCTGAAGATATCATCCAAACGTGATACTCTCTGCAGCATCAGCTACGATGATTGGTTAGGCAGTCGGTCAGTGATGCTCTGGTGACGAATAGCCTCTGAGCGTCCAACATGGCTCAGCTTGTTAGCCAGTGCTGCGTTGAGTGCTGTTAGATATGGAGATGAAATCCACAGACCTACAGTTAGACCTTATGCTGGTGCAGTAGGCCCCAGGTTCCTTGCTAGTAGCCCATGTAGTGCTGTGGACTACCCCTAGGAGTACTGGTACCCCAATATGAGACAATACTGTAGATATCGTTCCAATATTTATCCTATTACTTGAAAGCGATGTTTGATCCTAGAACTTTTAAATCTACATATTTTTAATTGTTATAAACTGATGATTTCTGTTTGTCTTCGCTTTTAGGTCCATTTTCTCAACAGTTTCTTCCACCGGCAGCTGATGACCAAAGGATACGATGGTGTTAAGCGATGGACGAAGCAGGTGAGCTGTTAGATGGAAATGATGTGATACCCTTGTTAGTCATGCAGCTTTCTATTGCCATGTTTCTCCCAGAAGCAAAAAGAACTAATATAACTTTTATTTCTATGCAAGGAAAAGTAAGAAAAAAGTCTCTAAAGAACTAAAGAGTGGGTGGGATGGGTGGCTGTGATCTCCTGTGTCTCGTCCAGGTGGATTTGTTTTCTAAGAGACTTCTTTTGGTGCCTATCCATCTGGAGGTTCACTGGTGTTTGGTGACTGCCGACATCGTCCAAAAGAAAATCTGCCTTTATGACTCTCAAGGGAACGG